TAAAATATTTTTATTCTGTTGCCACTCATTCTGAGAACATTTGTTTTATAACAGGTAATGGGTCGTTCGCTTAAAAAATAATCGCGTTTTGCAGTCTTGCAGATTTTGCAGTACCTATAGCAAATGTTATAAGCCAGTTCAAGTTAAATGCGATTAAGCTGCGAAGTGGAAACTTTCTATTGAACACTTGTTATAGTTTATGTTAGACACAAGAGTTTAGGTTTAACAATAAGTATAGTTAATAAAGCATGTAGAATGTTTGACTACCAAAGAGGTAAATCGACAAAGATCTGATGATTGAGTTCAGAAATATCTTATTAGAGTTAGCATGTTTAGATACTGATCGGTTTCTTTTACCTATTGGATCTATTATAATAGATACTATTTCTAATAAATATTTCAATTCCTTCTACTATTCAACCTTTTTTGTTGACGAGGGGAAACCTTCAAAAGGAGATTAGCTTTTTGGGGAAAACGAGTGTGGGATTTATACCTCACTAAAACCTCCCCGGTGGCCACCATTCGCACCTGAAAGGGTCCGCTCAACAGACCAACCTCGGAGCCCCCGTGGTGCAACGCCTGTAACGGCACCTCTCTATGGAGACCTATGTGTCTACCTAAAACCTCTCTGTGCAGTGCAACAGCTAAAGTATACGGATGTCGAATGCAGTGTATAAGTACCTAACGTGAAATTAATTCTATATTACCTGTTACAGTGGAAGGTTTCTTATCTAGCAGTCGGATAATATTTCAAGATAAAAAGCCAATAATAAAGATATAAAGAGTATCGATAGTGTACCTGTTCAGGGAGGTTTTAATGTACAGCAGTTTGTGTTGTGGGTGTTAGGTTGTATTTTATTAGTCGTGTCAAATTAAGTTGTATTTTTCTGTAATGAGAGTCGTAATTCGTTTGGTGGGTTTGGTTTGTTACCTACTAGGTTCGGTTTGAGTTTCAAAGTCAAGTTGGTTATAATATATAGTTTTATATGTTATGTTTAGTAAAGTTTTATCTCTGTTTTAAATTAAGTTATCAAATGTTTAATGACAGTTTGCGAATATGTAGTTTATTTATCTTATTAGCAAATGTATCTACGTCAATTGTCTTATTAACTATTAACATGTGTTTAGTAAAAAAAAAATAGATTATGAAGTAGGTAGTATACATTAAAAAAATAATTTACAAAAATCATTCCCATATAAGAAACATTTAAACTTCATTATCACGTTCCATACGAAGAAAAAATTAATTAAACTATAAAAAAGACTATACTATTACAATAAAACAACAAATATGAGTGTTAAGTAAATAGGAGTATGAAGTTATAAGGTTATAAATAAGATTGTATGTTGGGCGGGCGGCGTAGGCGGGCGGACCGTGAGAAACCGTTCGTTAAGATTCTGTGTGCATCTAGCTACAACAACCAGTATAAGTTGACGGCTGTATATACGTAATGATCACACTCAATGAGACCACAATAAACTGGTTTTTAATAACCAGTGTAAACTGACCTTTGACTGTGCGAAGAGATTATACAAAGCGAGGTTATTATAATCTGGTTTTGTATAACTTGATGTTAAATGTGTACGCTATGTGTATTAATATTACATGGAACTATGATTGATTTTGTATGAATATGGATATTGGGATTATTGTTTGAAATTTGATAGTTTGGACTTATTGAGGAATGTTATAAAGTTTTTATTAGGGTTTATGAAATATGTAAATACTTTTTTTAAAGTGCATATGGATCTCTGCATTATAGGTACATATTATTTATTATATTAAGGTTCTGTCACGTGAGTATGCAGAATTGGACAATGTTTTATTTTTACACCTACGTGAGGTTCAGAAAAGTTTTCAACAAATCTATCACAACGACAGTTCTAGTGATTTAAATTTTACTTATCTATAAAATGCTATTCTTATCTCCAAGTGTTTATTATTTGAAACATCAATAAACGCATTTCCATTCACCACCAACCAACCAACAATAAAAAAAAAACCATCTAAAATGAACTATCACCTAAATCTTAAACTCTAACCTCGACCTAATAAAGATTATGAAAACATACGCCTCTGCGCCGGCGCAGACTTATGGCTTTCAATTTGTAGATTATCTTTGAAGATAGTCATCGATACATGTGTAAACAATAGATGGCGTGGTGTGTATGTGTGTGTGTGTGTGTGAGCGGGGGCGACGTGTGAGTTGGTCCTTTGAGGCGCTACGTGGATAGAAAGACCAAGTGATGATGTTAAGTTACTATTGATTGAGTTAGTTTAGGTGTTTTGAGAAAATAGCAAGTTGATATCTTCGATCCAATAAATGTGAGTCAGTTAAGAACCAGGGAAATAAAAAAATAACGATAACATACTAAATTTGCTTGAATTTTAATACCATAATTATGAATCCATATCTGTATTGCATGAAACATTCATATACATAATACAGCAAAAATTGAAACATAAGTCATTGCAATTTGGATAAAATTATAGAATGAAATTTTAGAACTTCCAAGTACAATGTGACCATAATTTATGCAAAATAAAGGGACCACAGGACCACGGCCATTAGGACCAAAATAAAGCCTGGCAAGCGCTCGCCATCCCATTAAAGAACCGTAACTTAGTTATAATTCATTTGTGAAATAATATCTATATTTCAGGATCATAGGTCAATTTACAAAAATGACAATGCGAGAACCCTGCATGACAGGGACAGAGATACTATCCACCATAAGTGAGAAAGGGACAGCTTCAAAGTCGTGCCAAACGCTCCAGGCGCCGCACTATGCAGCAATGATGATATTACAGTTCAAATGCACTTGTGTTTACCTTGAATACTTTACAACCTGTCAAATTGAACTTTATTTTGTGAGTGACAAGGTTGACAGTGATTTTGTAATTTTTTGAGAATGTATTACAAAGTTTGTAAATTGCAAGAAGTGTTCAAACGCATGGCTTTATTATGTGTTGAACAAAATGAGGTTATTAAGGCCCATTGTAATGGGCTGAAAGTTGAGGCTTTAAGGGGCTGATGGAAACACTCATGAAGTGGACCACAGACTGCAAATGATTCTCGACAGATATTTTATTTTCATGGTAAATTTTAATGAGATGTGCCTAGCTGCAGACCTGAAAATTACACGTCTAGGAAATATAGGTTACAGTTCTGTGACGCAACTAATTGAATGCCTTACTGAAGTCGAAAATTATATGTTTCAGAAAAACTACGCTAATCACACTTTAATACTAGCGCAGTGTCCTCATAACATACTAGGTTAAATCTACTTCAACTTGGAGTTAAATTTAATTAAAGAATTACCATCACATGACCCATAAAAGTTAAACCCAAGAGATTCCCATGAACAAGAACATAAAAAGCTAACAACAATAATTAGAAAACGAAAAGTAACTATTATCGATATAAATTAATAACTGAGATAAAGGCAAAGCAAATATTAAAACATATTAAGAGTGGTCGGTGCCATCATGCGGTTAACCTGTAATTAAAACTCGGGTTATGATCGTTGATCGGGATCAAACAGAGACATTAAGACCGTACAGTTAACGTTAATGTTCATAGAGATGGGCAGCCATACAATTTGATTCGAGATGGCCAGACAAGAATTTTATATCGATAATTTTGATGCCATTAGATTTGGTGAAGATTGTGAGTCTGTAGTTATTATAAACGATATTGTAAGCCAGATGGACGAATATTATATTGATAAAGATGGACAAATGTAGTTAGGTTCTTAATACTCGCAAAGTTTTATTGAATAATTGTTATTATCTATCTTCTTACGAGAAAACATTAACCATGGCCGGTTATTAACAGAGTGTCAATAGAACCATCAGTTATCTTATTAATATCAAGTTTACATTTACATAGATTAGTACCACACGAAGGCGGGGGGAACAGTTGACATACTGATGAATACTAAATTATTATGTTTTTTCACGACAGCAAGTACGACTCAAATAACAATGTTAATGTCTACACTTTGACAGAACAAATGATCGGTTCATTGTCACATTGAAGTGTGACCCGAATGACAAATATTATTTAACGACCATTTACATGACATATGACACTTCCAAAATCAAAGTATGAACGTCTACTATAAATACAGGAGTATAGTACAACCCTAATGTAGTTTGTTTATAATGTTCCAAAGATATTAAATTACGAACAGCCTCGGGTCAAAAGTGATTGTATACAATTACATCTTGATTACAGTTTAACCTTTTGTTAATTACGGGAGCGATGTAACCGGTCGATTTTGTTTTAACTATTTTTAATAAGCGTGCGAATGTGTTTCTATGTAATTATTGTCTCGAGGGCGCAGAGATTCAATCACAGTTGACGAAGAGATCTGATGACGTATCAGGAATCGATTATTGATGTTGAAAACGTGTCGACATCGCTTCACACCTCGTTGTACAGCAATAAAACAATATCGATTTCCGACCGTTAAGCACCAGACAATCGATAAAAAACAACTTGCTACAAATTCCCTGATGCGTCGTTCGATATTTCATTTTGAAAAAAAAACCACTGGCCGAGCACGGCGCGAACGTAAAACAATTGAAGCATAATTCTATCGGCGTCTATGGCGACCCGAGTGACCCCGAGCCGAGTCGAGCTGGCCCGAGAATAGCCGAGTGAATCCCGCCCACCCCTATTAGGAATTGCTCAGCTAATAACTGTTTTAAAGGGAATTTAAAATGAAATTAGTGCTATTGCTATTAATAAAAACTATGCGCAAGTGCAAGTTCTGCGTGGGTAGGTATTTCATTTGCAAAATGTGTAGAATGAGAAGTTGAGCATAAAGTTTGATGTCTTTTTTATGAACCTATACAGTAAATAATCGTGCCTGCTTAATATTGTTTGAGTTAACGTAAGTACCTACAGAGGAACAACTTCATTTACTTAACCTTCAAAAATTACTGTAGAGTTGGTAAATAATTAATGAAACATTTTTTATTGAAGTCTTACCGTATTGTTCATGAACGGAGACGGAGAACATACCTAGAAAACAAAAGAGAATATTTTAAAAATGACAAATCTTTTATACAGAAAAAAATAAAAATAAAGTTGACTTCAAAACAACATGTTATTTTCATACACCTTAGTAAAGTCAATATATACAGTTAAAGGAGAATATTCTAGAAATTGAAAAAAATATGTACCCCGTATAACCCTTTGTCTGGCGGGGCGTGGTCACAAAATATTCATTGTCTAAAGACAATGAATATTTTGTATTATTATCGACTTAGGTCCCCCGAGTCTTTTTGATTGATTTACAACTTGTCACTTTGCGGTTGAGGTAGCAATGACGGGATTAAAACGGTAGTTTTTTGTTGTTTTCTTGGGTAACAGATAGGGATGGACGTCCATTCATAGTCTATTGTTATAATATTAGGTTACTAATCTGTTTTGAAAAGGAATAGGACAATTTAAACTTAATGTTTAGATTTTTTTGACCGCTATTATTTAACTTATTTTTTCGTAACGAAATAATAATAATAATTACTTTAACAAAAAAAAATAAACACGTGTAAGTTACACAAAATGATCTACTAAAATCTTGAAAACAAATTAAACCCTAACTATGATTAAAAAAGCAAATACACCGAGTGGTACAATAATAGTGAGATGGACACCCACACTACGCTATTACCGAGGCTCTAACAGCTTAAGTGCTGTGTTAATACACACTCACAATGCGCGAGCGCATTCAAATACGGTTAGCACAAAAATCCTAGTACAAAAGATGTTTTCAAGTTATGACTGCGTTAATAGACCAGACGTGTGGTGGCATGTCCTGTGTGTAATGGGTGGCATGAAAGTGGGTAAGCACGGAGCGTAGTGTTGCTTAGACTTGTTCTAAGCTCATCGTCGCGTCGTCGGTAAGTTATAAGTAAAAGTATGTGTGCCTATTTGGTAGGTGTTTCAAATGTATTATTGGGCATGTAATGAGTGTTTTCTGCTTTCTTATTAATACTAATTCTAATCCTAGTTTTAGTTCTAAGATAAAAGCTAAAGAGCAAACTGTCCTTTTCACCACACAATTTAAACAAAACCGAACGCAAAATAAACAGAACCACAAAAATGTTACAAAAAATCACATATTTTCCATGTTAACAAGTAAGGTACACACATTTGATGATGAATCAATACAATACACTTACTATTTATGTGTCGTACTCGTACTATTCTCGATAATGATCGCACAAACAGAGTGTGGCGAAAGTCGCAGAGTTTCCAAATTAGCACGTTCAGATGACGGACGGATTGATAGAAGACGAATTAGCGAGTTTTGTTAGGCTACTTCCACGCACGCACGCACAGGGTTAAGAGGTAAGTACACCATGCTTTTCATGAATTGTGGATATTTTTTGTTCCAATGTTATATGTTAGTCTTAGTTACAGTTTGCAGTTTGAAATACGAATGTATTCATAGATTTGTTTAGATGTTATTTACATGGGGTTCATTAAAATAAGTGTTACTTAAACTATGATGTGCACTTCTATTTACATATTTCAGGATTAAACTGTCAAACACCAAGCGGTCACCGGTGACCGCAACCTATTGTTCTATAATTGTGTCTATAATGACGGTACTCGACGAGTTAAGGCGTGGTTTCATTTATAAATGTTATGTTTATTTTTAAAGGAAAACAATAAATGACCATGAATTACTACAATTTTGAAATGAAATATTTGTAATTATTAAAGTTCATAGTCAGTATCGATGTGTAATTATAGCTACCTACCTATACTAACTTACCATCTGCAAGTTATAGTACGTTTACTAAACTAAATTGTAGATAATTACTGTGTAATGTGACGTAATTACTTTGACTTTGAGAGATCAACAAACCAGTTCCACAATGTTTGAACATTCAAGTGCATATCAAGATGTTTTAATGTAACTACCTTCGTATAAATATTATTCATAATAGCTACGTAGTTATAATAACTCTACACAATCTATTGCATTGATTTGACCCCTCATTTATAACAATAAATATTAATTTTAATCGCGTCCACGTATTAAAACTTCGATCAAACTATGCTCAAGGTATTTGTGAAGGACTTAAATGTATCAGTTTGTATCAGAGTGTAATTAAAGACACACCGAGCACTAATAATTATGCAAATACATATAATTGCTGTGTAATTACAAGATTTGTCTAAGTTTTTTACATCAATTACGTAGTTTTTGAAGAAAATTGTTCTGCTTTGTAAACATTTTGTTCCTTTTTTACTTGATACCGTTGTATTTTTGTTTTTATTACCAAAACAGTTGCTAAATGTCAAACGAATTCAAATCGCTGTTAAAATTATAAATGTTAATTTATAAAGAAAATGAATTAATTTTTAAGACATTTTTATTAATAAAGTGTCACAATTATTTATGATTTATGCCATGGCACAGTTTCTAACGACTTTGAATTGTATTATGCTCCGTCATGATCTATAAAGTTTTCAATATTTATAAATTTTGAACTGGAATTAGAGGAAATATTTGCAATAAATTAATATTTATATTTTAGGTGTGAGTGAGACAGTGGCAAAAACATACAAACACCACACATTTCTGTCTAGCTATTTATATTTTAACCTAGATACATTACATGTTTAAATAAACATGTTTTGGGTGAGTCTCGCTGTTACTTATATCGGTGGCACCCTACAGAGCATTTAGCGTGTGATATTACAACTTGTTCCGACATTTTGTTAGCACTTTTACAGACTCACATGAAAGTCAATTGTATGTTATTTCGACTCTTCCGTGTTGTCTGAGAATTTGGGCTAACATTTGCGTTTGTTTACTTAATTGTTTACGCGTTAGAATGGGTTCTACATCTTGTTTGAAATGGTGTTTTTAGAAGGGCACATTTTGGTACAGTATTGATCAAAAGATGTAGATTTTTCTATTGTATTTATTTTCTAGTATAGTATACTTTATAATATGCTATAACTTGCATAAGAATCGATACCATTTATGAGGCATTTTCAAAATCAATGATCGTATCTCAATCGTGTTTTATGAGCATATTTATTGTGTTCGATTAATCGATTAAACTCATTCTTTGTTACACTTTTATCGTAAACAGTTCATCGTAAAACTTACTCAACTAAAACACTTATAAAACTATCCACAGGTTAAATCTATTAGAAGATCTGCCCCGACCACGCCCCTCATTTAAAAAAACAAACACGAACTTATTGTTTTAATACAATCAGTTTAATCTTCCTCAAGTGTGATACCATACAAATTTCACACACGAAAGGTTGGATGAGATTAATGTGTTCGATATGTGGGTAAGCAGCAATCGAGGTTATGTAAACATGGTTTTGTTATATAAATTATTGAGTTTAAATACAAAGGTTAGTGTATGACCTAACGAGATTAGCTTAGTTTAATTTTATATTAGTTGTTGAACATTTCAATACATGATTGCGTTTGATTTTATTTTAATAATACATTGTATGCAATAATAATTGCCTTTTCAAGTAGTATGAAGCTTAAAATATTTTTTAGGTCGATTCACTACAAGGTCTTTCGAACTTAGGACCAGAAAAAGTGGTCCTTTTGGTCCTAGATATAAGGGCTCATAAGTAAGACATGTTTAATTCGAAAAATAAGGCGCATCTCACATGTGTATACGAGGCGTAAGTCGTGGGAATCTCATAAAGCGATTGACGCGCTTCGTTATGTAGAACGATCTGTAATTGCGATGTACCGACAGCAGAACAGCAGTAGCTTTACATCGCTTTTATTGCTACAATACATTATGACTACTGATGTTTTTATTGTCACTTCTCTTTGTTAAAAGATGGGTGGTGAGTGGGTCGTTATTTGTTAATATAAATGTATGGTGATTTGTTTTTTTTATCACTAAATAATAATATGAATCAAATTATTCGATAAACTATAATGTTAGTGTTAGTATAGTAGATACTAGAGAACTACTTGGCATGGGTTTTTTGGTTTAAGTGATCAGACAAAGATATAATAAATAAATAGGTGATGATTTTCAAAATTCTCTGTAATAGCATGGAATCTGAAATAGTATCAGTAGAAAGATGTCTAGGTATTTCTTTGTAAAATAGTAATGAGTATAATGATTAGGTTAATAAATAAAATATTCCTTTTCAATACACATTTTAATGATCACCACGTCCTTCAAGTAAAATAAATAGAAGAGTTCTATTTTAGTCACTGTTTATTATTGCTTCTATGAACAAAATAATGGGACAATAACTAACCGGGTGTATTCTCCGAATGGCCTGGCTAACACTTGCCACGCCTGGTTATGTGAACTTTTAACCCAAGGGTACTTTATGTCCATCGTAAGATACTGTTAGTTATACCGAATGTTAATGTGTCTTTCATAAATAAACAATAAAAAATGTTATTGCATTGAGCAATAAATGAGAACAAATTAGTTGAGTATAAATAGATTTTTAAATTAATGAAAAATGGCTGTGCTAGATATTTATAATAGACATCTGTGGATCAATCTACTCCTTGGTCGATTAAAAACCGTGATGTTTTGTTAACCTTAATGAATGAAAAAAATATCTAATTTAAATAAGTAAGTAACCATATTAAACTATCAAACACCAAGCGGACACCGGTGACCGCAACCTATTGTTCTATAATTGTGTTCACAATGACGGTACTCGACGAGTTAAGTTAAATTAGTAAGTAAATCATATTGAGAACATTTCCATACACCAAATAAATATGCCTTAAAAGGTGTTCTACTATAACAAACAAAACAGTCAAACAAAAATTAGCACACGCCTTAAAATAAAATAGAGCTATCATCGAACCATTTCATAGTTCAATTATTCATACAATAAAGCGTAAAATCCATGACATTTATAAATATACGATCGATTTTGTAACCGATTACGAATTCAAACATCGATGAATCGATTCAAGTCAAAATCACGCGGCAATCAAGAAAACACACAGTGATCACGAAATGGACAATTATTGGTCACAAATT